CACATTCGAGAAAAGCAGATGATGCGAAAGGTACTGTTATTTTGCATTAAATTGCTACTTTTGTATAATAAGTAGAAGGTAAATTGTCATTTGATAACCGCGAACTAAATCTAAGAAAGTGCACCTTCAGTCGGCCCACACATTAAAGTTCCCCATGGGGGAGCAAGCAAATCTGAAAAATAACCATTGGCAAGGAGGGTGGGAAAAAATTCTCTATCAAACTACCAATAGCAGTCTTCGTTCGAATTTTGTGCTTTAACTGGTTATAATATTCATAATCCACTTTCCTGTCATTCAGCAAAGAATTATGAAGAAACTCGAACGTGTCGAAACTGCTCAGGCGATAGAAGGTCAGACCTCAAGGTAAGCTTCTATTTCTCCTGAATGGACTGCTGTATGCTGCGTCTACCGAACCATTCCAAATAAAACGGTGTTTTGGTACATGCGTAATGAGATCTCGGGCATTCATTTTTATGCAGATGATGATTTGGTTCGTGTTCGTAGACTCAACAAAACATTCACCTAAGCCGATGATGCACATGAACGTCTGAGCAGATGGTTTGTGATTAATATGTGCTTAATCAATCGAAACAAATATTTACACACCATTTAAAAGTCATCTTATAGGATATTTCCTTAGGAATATCCATGTTCTGTTGCTTTTTCAAAGCTAAATTCAATTAATAGTTGCGGTTAAAAGGAAAATAATGATTTTATGGAAAAAAGAAGGCTAAAGGATATGAGGGATATAAAGTTACATGGGCATACAATACAAAATTTTTAATGGTTCTGAAAATAATGTGACTATTCAACTTCTGCCTCACCTGACTTCCGATAAACAAAAACCAGTTTTTCCAGTAGACAAAGGCTCCTTCGTAGAAACTCTTTCATTTTATACTCGTGCTTTTTGTGTTAATGACGAGCACGTATACGCAAATGTGGACTAGTACAGATACTAGCATAAGTCAGTTTCTGAATATAAAACAAGGTTATTTCGCACAAAAATAGGCAAATTATTTTTCTTGAGTGCATTCATCCACATACTCGAAGGACTTTTCGGAACGCCTCAGATGAATAAATACAATGCACAACATTTGAGGCGTCTGGAATTGGTCATCTAGCTTCCCGTCATCAGATCGCACATGAGCACACGCATATATCGCCTGGTTGCAGCCTCACATGCACCGGTAAAACACTATATTAGAGTGTACGACGCTTCTTTTTGTCCTCAATTGTACTTCTAAGACACTTTGAGCGCTTACCCACGTCCATAGAATACATACCGTCCAATCAAAATTCAAACGCCGCCATCGGGAGTGAGTTCTTGTCGCGTCATTGATTTGTTCTCAGAGCACTTGCTTATACAGTGTAAAATCGGGATGCCTTCTAACTGACTCGCTATTTGCTTGCCAAGTTTACCATAAAAAGCATGAAATCCGATTATTCGATTGAATCGGCTTCGTTTTGCTGGCGAAAATGATTTATGGCCTGGAAGTGGATAAGCAGCCATTTGTAACAGTTCGATTTTGATAAAAATAGAGGGACTCAATCGCCAGCAGCCGCTCATCGGCTAGTATTCGAAGCAGAATGACATTAGCGACAACGTCCAAGGCGACTGGAACGGCCAGTTTTAGCTCATTAGTCACCATCAGCATCCGTGAATCTCGTACTCGGGACCTAACAAATCTGCAACAGGACAACGGGGCTAGGGCAAGTTATAGGCGTGGGGGTACCAACACCTAGGGTTTGATCTGAATAATTGAGGATGGTAAAAGTACTTCACTAAGGCTTCGTTATCGCTGAGCCCTTTTCTGCCCTCGTTACCTTCATCAGTTTATCAGAATCCGCCAGAGAAAGCCTGAAGTCAAAACATCAGCCAAACACTAGTGGGTGGACTGGGATCTGGTCGAAAGCGGTGTGTGTACCGCTGGGGGTTAAGTAAGTTAAACCCTAGCAACTGCGATCTTCAGACTATGGGTACTTAGTAGAGAAGAATTCGCTGGAGGCCAGAATATAAGGAACAGTATATTGTGTACACAAAGGAACGAAGAATAGGTGTAAAGAGTTTTTACCTCGGAGCACACCTCATTCCGCTGGACCGCCGTGGTCCCAAGTGATGTCTGGCGGCCGAGAGTGGGGAAAAAGGAACATGT